GTAGTTGGATTTCGTGATACTTGATTTTTCTTTTAATGATCTTGACTCTTTGTATATTAAGATGTCTCACTAGTCACAGTGGCTCAGGTCCATAATCCCAGCTACTTGGGAGATGAAAATGGGGAGCATCACTGTTCAAGGTCAACCCAGGCAAAGAGTTAGGGAGACCCCCATCTCAGTCATTAAGTGGGTATGGGTGTGGTAGTGCACACCTCTGATTCCATAGATAGGAGGATTGTGGTTCATGCCCACCCAGACAAAAATGGGAAATCCTATGTGAGAAACAACTAAAGCAAAAAGGGTTGGAGGTGTGACTCAAGTGAGATAGAGTGACTGCCTTAGCAAACAAGAGGCCCTGAGTTCCCCTGTACTGCCAAAAAAAAAAAAGTCTTAATTCCTTTGCTTTTTCATATGGAGAGTTCTTTACACATATGATATAGTTTATTAAGGGTAGTATTATTCTTTAGTTGTTGCCATTCCGAGTGAGAGCTTTTCATCCAGTGGGTGTTCTTACTTGTTGATTTTTGTCTATTTAATAATTAGTCACTTAATGAATTCCCTGTTGCTTTTAGCTTTTCACCTAATTTTCCTCAGGTATTCTAGGCATACAATCATTTATAAATAATTAGTTTTTGTCTTCTCTTTCCCAGTATCCCTTTTAGGGTTTTTTTTTGGTGATTTGTGCTAAATTCTTTCAGAACAGTGTTAAGTAAGTGATAGTGGATTTCCTTGGCTTAATTCTGACTTTAATAAAGGATGCGTCTACCATTTCATTATCATTTGGTTTGACAGACTCCACCCTAATCATTTTATTGTAAGGATTATGTGCTTCTATTTTGAGTTTTAACTTCTTTTTTGTGTTGGGTATTTTTGAGATAGGGTCTTGAACCTCGATCTTCCTGATCTCTGCCTCCCAAGTAGTTAGACTTATAGGCATGAGCCACTGATGCCTGACTGAGTTTAAGTTCTTTACACTATTAGTTAGGCCCAGATTTCTTTTTCTACTTTTAATTGCATACATAAATTGAACTGAAAAGTATTTTTTCATTGAATGCCTAAATACCTAAATGTTCTAAATAATAAGAACTGGCACACTAAGTTTTTTTTTTTTTTTTTTGGCAGCACTGGGGTTTGAACTCAGGACCTCATGCTTGCTAGGCAGGTGCTCTTACTGCTTGAGCCACTCTGCCAGTCCTCTTCTGAGTTTCCGATCAGTATTAAAATTCATGCTATATATAGATATATTTTATTTGTTAGACTGTAACCTGAGGTTGAAGAGCTTGCCTTATATAAAAGTGTAAAGGTGGCTGCATGTGGTGTGGCTTTGGTCAGTAATTTCTAAGTTGGCCATCAGAACCCTTATGGAAGAAGCATGGGCTCTTAGAAATAGACGCTAGGCTTCTTCCCTTGAGATTCCTGCACTGGACCTGGGACTGTGTATGCTAGGATTTTCTCAGGCGTGGCTGATTCTCTCAGATGCCTATCCAGATGGTGTTACGCTTGTCTGCCAGGTACAGTAGGCCAGGCTACAACTGAGAAAGTAATAGGCAATAAGTACCTATTAGATTGTAATAGGTAAACACTTCAAGGACCATTCTGACTACCTCTGGGCTGTTCCCCATCCTCCTCCCTCAGTATGCATGGTGACTAAACACTGTGGGCTCTGGTTTATAGTTAGTTTCTGGTAACCTGGAAATGAGGAAAGTTTGTTTTTATAAATGGGAATGCGAACACTTCCAAATTTAAGAGTTACCTTTTACTTGATTTTTTTCCCCTTGCTCATTAAATAATTGAGCTGTCAAAGATCATTTCTAAATGGGTTTGCTAAGTTTGCTTGGGACATGAAAGTCACTGTTTGCTTAATGTGACTGCTGCTTAACTCCTGGGGAAGAATTTGAGGTGAGCACGGTTATGTTACATTTACAGTGCTGCAGTTATGTTCTCATTGATAGTTCTGTGAGCCTGTTGATACAGTTGATTAGTTTTGAGTTTGAATGTATTGTCTTGAAAAATCATGTTAACATTCATTACATTGCAATTATTCAAAGTAACAAAACCTCAAGTGCATTTGATGAAGAGCAGCATGGGAAAACTGAAAGATATTAAATGACCAAGAAGTGTTCTGAATAGCCTGTGTTTTTTGTCACTGGGTTTCTTTCTTTCTTTTTTTTTTTTTAAAACATGGCTTCAGTTATGCTGGGAGACTGGGAGTGGGTTTGCCTCTCAGTAAGTTGTTAGAACATAAGAATATTAATATATCTTCATGTTAGTTTGCTTAGTATTTCTGCTGCTTAAGGTGCCTGTGACTGTAACAGAGGCCTCTGTGTAGCAGAGTGCTGTGGCTGCACAGTCTGAATGTTCCCGCAGCTGTTGTTGAAAGGTATTGCCAGTATTTGGTTTAATTTTGGAGCTGTGGGCTAAAAGGGAGTGCCAGTCCATTTCTGAAGTCTTGTTGATGTGGGCCACAGTTAAGTTTCATGATACAGAGCAGGAGAGGAAGATGAGGTCTAGCTGTTGGAGGATGTCTGGTATCTACTAGACCTAACATTTGTGTGCATTTCATCCCCACCACTCTGCAGATCAAACTGTTGATGGTGTACAGCAGAAAGAATGAACACTGGTTTGGAACACAGAACACATTTTTAACTTTTCAAAAATTTAAATGAAATATTTCAAACATACAGAAAAGTAATAGTAAAATTAATAACGGAAGCTTATGAGGATAGCCTTCTACTAGAGTTTGTATATATATATATTAATGTGCTCTGTATCATGCCAACTGGAAGAAGCAGCTTGCATTATTATCCCCATTTTACACATGGGAAACTGACATACAGAGGTAAAGTAACTGCTCCAAATTCTGCAGAGAGCAGAGCTGGGATTTGGATCCAGGCAGTCTGGTTCCAAAAAGTGCATGGTCTTAACTAATGTAAAATACTTGTTACAAAAAAATAATATAGCAGGCAAATGATCTGATTTTAATAAATGTTTACATCTTACCATATTTGTTTTAGGGGTCTTTGTCATTTTTTAAACCCATTGCACCTTCTTGCATGTTCTCATCTGTAAGTAGGCAGTCGTGTCAGCACTCTGTTGTTTCTGGTTCCATCCATCTTTTTCCTCCTTCAGCCTCCCTCTGTCAGACACTGTCCTTTTCCCAGCATTTGGACAGTGATGACCTTTTCTTACTTCTGGGAAGAACCTATTTCAGCAGATATTTAGGAAGTATCTCTCACACTACAGGCAGTGTGCTAAGGAAGTAGAGAAGAAGCCATGAGGAAGAATCCTATTGTTGACATCACAGAACTTATAACCTAACAGTGTGGGGAATGGGTTTATTTAAAATGATTAAGTGCAAGTAGATAAATTTTACGTTTGATGATTTTAGTTATTCCTGGCCTATCTGTTGGATTTAGCCTTGGGTCAGTAATTCATTTTGTTTATTTATATTGTCTGAAATGTGCTTTCAGCTGATGGTCAAATTGGGGATAATTTGGATTTTCTTTCTTTTTTTTTTTTTGAGATAGGGTTTCTTTCTAGCCCAGGCTGGCCTCAAACTCCTAGTCCTCCTGCCTCAGCCTCCCCAGTGGTGGGATTATAGATGTATGCCACATCACCCTGTTGATCTGGAATTTTTGTAGTTCAGTTCGTGTTGTACCCATTCTAGAAAGGCTCTGGGGAGACCTCTGTCCCTGTGGCTCCATGAGCCCCAGAGTGGGAGGTTTTTGGGCCCACTTGGTTATTTACTCTGGTGTCAGCTGTGTAGTCTGTGAACTTGAAAGGGGTTCAAATGGGTCTTGACCTCTAGGGTCAAGAGGTGTCAGGGGTGGGCGTTGGCCTTTCCTGGATCCCATTGAAGCTGAGCAGTAAGTGATGTAGGACAGTCAATCTGCTTGTTTTCTCTCACCAGACTTTAACCACTCACTGCGTGTTCGAAAATGCTAAAGCTAGCATATGGCAAAATACATTTAAAAATCATAAAATGAATTTATTAGAATTAGAAATATTGTCACACCAAAAATTTAATCTCAAGCATCTTCAAAGAATTTGTAAAACAGAATGAATTCATAGTTATTTTCACAGTGCTAGAGAGCATTTTGCTCAATGTCAGCATCGTTGCAGTGGGAGGGGCTGGCTGTGCAGACTGCACTGTTAATTAGCCCTGGTCAGGAGGGGGAGCTGATGAGGCTTCTCAGTTTACCGACTGCTTCCAGCAGATGGTCGCAGTGGTGGTTTTCACCCCCCTTTTTCTATTTGGGAGATTAGCAAATGCTTTTGGAACAGATAGTAGTATTTTGGCATTTGTTTTAGTAAAGGCTTTTGGAATCTATCGTAGAGAATATCTTGACAGAAAGTGGGCTTCTTCTGAAATGAGGTGATAAAGAGACGCTCCTGTCAGATGAGTGTCAGGAGACGGCAGTAGCTGTTTCTAGACATATGCCACGACATCTTAAGAAAATTATATCATTTTCTAACCACCCCCCCCAAAACAAAAAACAAAAAACAAAGTTCTGGAAGTTGGGAAGTAACTGTACTTTCTACAGAGCCAGCACTGGAGTTAACCAGCACACTTAGATCTGGGTTCTTTGCTTGCAGTTCAGTTGGCTGCTTGGCCTTAGGCAGCTTGGCCGGCCTCTCCGCGCTCTGGGTTCCTCATCTGCAGAGTGGGGTACTGTCTGCTTTCTTCAGGGTTTTCTGAACCACTGAGAGTATGAAAGCACTTTTAAAATCGTTAGGGATACACAAATGTAATTTACGTGCTGACCGATCTGTGTTTTCTTTCTAGTAGAGGAAGCATATTACTTTAAGCTTTGTAATTACTTTATTTCAAATTAGTGTTTCAGTCTCAGCGTTGAGAATTTTTTGTTTTGTTTCTTAAATTTGAGTTAGTATTCTGAAGTTTGGTAGTATAGGAGTTGGTGCATATAATGAGACAGTAATGGAATGTGGACGAGAGAGCATTACCATCTAAACATGTGTTGATGACTTTGTGCTTTTAGGTATACCAAGCTTGGCTACGCAGGCAACACTGAGCCACAGTTCATTATTCCGTCATGTAAGTAAAGCTCTACCTGGGTTTTTAAAGGCTTGTGTGTCTTAGCATTCTCATTCTAAGCATTTCTAACTTTCCAGTTCTGTTTATCACGGTATATTAATTTACTTACCATCTAGCTACTGGGAAGGGTTATTTTGCCACCTTGTTCCTAAATGTTGCTATAAACAGTACCTGTGACCTAAACCAGTGTTCTAGCCCTTCTACTCCCTTCTGATACAACCCTTTGTCACTGTCACTGAAGTTTCATCTAGAATAGTAGGTAGAGGCGTTTGCTCAATCATCAATGTCTAAACTGCCTAGAAAAAGTCTGTCTGGGTCTCTATCGCTAACTTGCAATTTTAAGTAACTGTAGTTCTGTTGACTTAGCAGTTCTGTTGTGCTGTATTGAACAGTTATTAGCAGGATTTCATTCACTGTAATGAAAGACTTTTTTGGTGGAAATGAGGAGCCTGCTGATTGCTTTCATTTTGTGACAAGCCTTTGGTTTTTATTTAATTTTTAGTTGGTAGAAAGTAACAACCTTAAAAGAAGTGTCCTCACATTTTGACGTGAACTCATCCTGTCCACTCTTTGTTTCCCATGGGAGTCTCCCCAAGGTCAGATTGGTGTTTGTAGGTAACATTCTCTGCAACTATCTAAATCCCTGGTGGTGATTTGGAGACAGTTTGCCAGAGAGAAAGGTATATCAACCAAGAGTGAAGGGAAACCTTGGTTCCCTAAATATGGCTCCCATGAGACACTGTGAGTGATTAGCTTAGTGACGCTGTCATGACAGGATCTTATGACTAGGACTGAACTGAGGATGTGGAAGGTGGGGAGAGGAGGAAGGCTTGATTGGTATTCAAGGAAAGGATAAAGCTTTTTGGTGATTGTGAGTGTGCACATTGTTAGAAAGTGGCTCAGGCCTATAATCCTAGCTACTCAGGAGGCAGAGATCAGGAGGATCGTGGTTTGAAGCCAGCCTTGGCAAATAGTTCCCAATACCCTTTCTCGAAAAAAATTCGTCACTGAAAGGGTGGAGTGACTCAAGATGTAGGCCTGGAGTTCAAACCCCAGTACTGAAAAAAAAAAAAAAAAAGTGTACTACAGGTTCCTCATTCTGGTTTCTTGTTGCTGTATCACTGACCATGGTTTTGATTTTCTTGATCTCAACACTTTGATGCCACAAATGGGTTATTCCTGATGATAGGCATTATTGGTCTGCTGTATCCTCATTTTAAGTTTATTAATTGGAATATTTGTATGTCAGGGCTGTCATAATAAAATACCACAGATTAGGTCACTTATACAAGAGTAGTTTATTTTATCACAGTACTGAAGGCTCAAGCCCAGGTTCAAGGTGCTGTCATGGTTGGTTTCTGGTGAGGTCTCTTTCTAGGCTTGCAGAGGGCTGCATTCCTTCTCAGCGGGTCCTTATATGGCCTTTTGTCTGTGTGAGTGTGTGTGTGTATGTGTGTGAGAGAGAGAGAGAGAGAGAAAGAGGAAGGGAGGAAGGAAGGGGAAGGGAGAGAAAGAGGAAGGGAGGAAGGAGGTGAGAAGGGAGATCGAGCGAGAGAGAGAGAGAGAGAGAGAGAGAGAGAGAGAGAGAGAGAATATACATTGGGTGTGTCTTCTTAGAAGGCCACCCACTTCTACCAGATTAGGACCCTACCTTTGTAACTTCATTTAACCCTAATCACTTCCCTAAAAGTGTTTCCAAATACAGTCACATTGGGAGTTAGGGCTTTGGTATTTGAATTTTGTGAGGACATAGTTCAATCCGTAAAAACTGATACTCTGTAGGATGAATCAGTCTTGTGTGAATTTTATTACTGTGAGTGATCATTCCATGCTGAGTCAACAAATTGAACTTTTTGACTACCTTTCAAAGTAGAAGATTAGATTTTACCTTGTTAAGTGTATCAACTCTAAAAACAAAAAATTGGGCTGGGATGTAGCTCGGTGATACAGCGCTTGTCTAGCATGCGTGAGGCCCTGGGTTCGATCCCAGCACCAAAAAAGAAAAGGAAAAAACAAACCTCTCCCCTAAAAAAAAAACAAAAAGCTGACCTTGCACCTTTTTGGTTTATTACGCTGCCGTTTAAAACTGTCATGAGCACTCAGTTGGCTGTCACCATTTATAGAGAAGGGGAATTGAAGTTGTTAACAGGATTTCATTCTCTGCCAGCAGACAGGTGAGCTCTCAGACTGGGCTGTCAGAACCTTAGCAGTGGCAGAAGCTGCAAGACAATACAAGCCTCAAAGGAGTGGGAGTAAAAGGGCTCCATTGTAGGCTGAAATTATTACAAGAGATAGACATGCCCCAGGAGGCAAGGGTGAAGATGTTTGGGCAGAAGTGAGAGTCTTAGACCGGTGAAAGGCCTTGGTTACTGTGGACATGTACTGGCCTACTGCGGGTCTTTGTGTTGGGAGTGGAGTGGCTTTTCCAGAATGTATGTGCTGAAATGGCATCAGAAGAGAAAAGTTGGGCTGAATGTGCAGCACATCCTAGGGTGGTTGTCTGGTATATACAAAGCCCTGGGTTGCATCCCCATCACCGAAACAAAGATGGAGAGAGGGAAGGAAAGGGGCAGAGAGAAAGAGGAGAAGGGAGAAATGGAGGGAGACAGAGAGAGAGCGAGAGAGAGAGAAAGAAGAGCAAAGGAGAGAGAGAAGCTTTTGTGTTGGTGTGTGATGTGTGCTGAGGGCTGGAAGCAAGACTTTTGAGGGCCCTAGGATAACACTGGCCCTGAATCCATCCCAAGCTTTGCTTGTCTCTGGTTTGTTTGAACTTCTGTACAAAAATTGCCTGATTGTTTAAAAAAGGCTTAATTTTTATTCTTATCTGTGTATATCCATCCATCCATCCATCTATCCATCCTGTAGATGGAATCCAAGGTTTTTTGCATGCTAGGCAAGTGGTGTGCACTGAGCTACATCTCCAGCCCAAAGGTTGTTTAAGTGTTGGAGATTATTGGGAATCATTGAAAGCTTCAGGCAGAGGAGTGTGTGCTGAGCACAGCCGTAGAAAGAGGCTGGGTCAGGCAGTCCTTCTGCCCTAGCTCTCAAGTGGCTGGGATGACTGGATAGTTTCATTTTAAAGATTACTATTGTGTCTCTTCACTGCTGTAGCGGTGCTTTTAAGACACATAATTTAGATCTCATCCTTAGATATTCTGTTCCTGTTATCTTACTTTGATTTCTCTCAGTTGACTTTTTGGCTTTAGATAACTTTTTAGCATTTAGGAAAGTAGTCTTTCTCTTCTGATCACTCACAGTCTATATTCATACAATTTTTATTTAAAAAAAAACCTACAGAACTTTAAGAACATTATTCTTGCCAGGCATCAATGGCTCATGCCTGTAATCCTAGCTACTCGGGAGACAGGAGGATCAAGGTTCGAAGCCAACCCTGGCAAATAGTTTGTAGACCCTATCTCGGAAAAACGTGTAACAAAAAGAGGGCTAGTGAAGTTGCATAAGTGGTAGAGTGCCTGCCTTGTAAGTGTGAAGCCCTGAATTCAAACCCCAGTACCGCTCCCTCCTCCAAAGAACATTATTCTTTATTAAATTTAATCCCTTTCCTTCCCTTCCCTCCCACCCTCCCTCCCAGACTGCTCTCGAACTTGTGATTTTCTTGCTTCAGCCTCTTGAGTACTGGGATTACAGGCATGCAGTATAATACCTGGCCAATCATTTTAGTTTTGTTTCATTATTACAGCTAACAGGTGTTTTGTATTCTAGATTGTATAAATCATTTGTAATCTTTTTCTTTTTTTTTGTTTTGAACTAATTATAGATTCCTTGGAAGTTGCAAAGATAGTTTACAGGGGCCTGTGTGTCCTTAATGTACCCCAAAGTTTGCATCTTACACACTTGTAGTATAGTATTAAAGCCAGAAATTGACATTGGTACAACGTGTGGGCATAGTTTTGTGTGTTTGTAATTGTTCCTTGATGGATTTTATGATTGCTCCTGAGATCCTTGCTTGATAATTTAAAATCTATGCGTCATGTCCCTTTTTTGCATATATTAATTGTACAAAGGGTTTCACTGTGATGTTCCCATCCAAGCATATGATGTACTTTGATTGATTTCACCCTCTGATCTTCAGTTCTATCCATTTTCCTGCATAACGATATAATTTCATTTTATGATGAATTAATATTCCATTCTGTATGTATATCACATATTCTTTATCCATTCATTGGTGGATGGGTACTTAGGCTGATTCCATAGTTTGGATATTATGATTGTGCTGTTACAAACATGGGCGTACAAGTATTTCTGTTGTATGCTGACTTACCTTTTTTTGGATAACGTACCCAGAAGTAACATAGCAGAATCATATTGAGTTCTATTTTTAGTTTCTTGAGAAACCTCCAAATTGATTGCCATGTGGTTGCACTAATTTACATTCCCACCAGTCTGCCAGCATTTGTTTGTTTTCTTTCTTTCTTTTTTTTTTTTTTTGCGGTACTGGGGCTTGAACTCAGGGCCTTCACCTTGACCACTCCATCAGCCTTATTTTTTGTGAAGAGTTTTTAGAGATAGGATCTCAAGAACTATTTGTCTGGGGTGGTTTCATACTGCAATTCTTCTGATCTCTGTCTCCTGAGTAGCTGGGATTATAGATGTGAGCCACTGGTGTCTGGCCTGTTGTTTGTTTTCTTGATGATACTGTTCTGACTGGGATGAGATGAAATCTTAGTGTTGTTTTGACTTGCATTTCCTTCATAAGCTAAGCTTGTTGAACATTTCTTCATGTGGTTCTTGACCATTTGTATTTCTTTTGAGAACGGTTTATTTGCCCATTAATTAATTGGATTGTTTTTTCTTTTGATGTTTAATTTTTGAACTCTTAGTATATTCTCAACATTAGTCCTTTATCTGATGAGTAGCTGGCGAAGTGAAAAATCTGTGCCATCTTGATACTGTTGCCCATTGATTTTCTTCCTACTTAAGATGCTCCTGATTCTTTGATTTTGCTGTGGTGGAGAGTTTTCAGGTGTTTGAGGTATGCCTTGAGATTCTAGACCTCATTTTAGGGGGATGCCCCTTCGTTCTGCCAGTTTGGGGTCAGAATGAATGTCCTGTTTGGCCTCTGGACACTGCATTGAGGGACCTGTGTTATTGCTGAGTGGGAACAGTTGGCAGGGTTTGGTAGCGCACTTTGCTGGGGGTGCTGGGGCTACAGCTTTCTGCATTGCTTTCCCTCACTTCTTCCCTTCCCTCCCCTCTTATCTCTTCTCTTCCTTTCCATTATTTTTTGATTAAGACTTACTTTGTTGTTGTTTGAAATTTTGAGTGGCATACTTTCATTCTTGCTACATTTAGAATTTTGTGTGTGTATATATATATATATATATATATTTTTTTTTTTTTTTTTTTTTTTTTTAGCGGTACTGGAGTTTGAACTCAGGGCTTCACACTTGCTAGGCATTCGCTCTACCACTTGAGTCACCCTGCCAGCTGTGTTTTATGTTGGATATTTTTGAAAGAGGGCTTTATAAATGTTTTGCCTGGGCTGGCTTCAAACCTCAGTCCTTCTGATCTCTGCCTCCTGCGTAGCTAGGATTACAGCTGTGAACCACTGGTGTCAGGCAATAAAGGTAGTGGCTTCCTCTTCTCGTTAAATATGTTGGTCTTGAATTTTTGGTAAACTGAAATGATGTAATGAGTTGGAGAATCTTTTTTCCTCATCTCTTCACAGTCTATTATGTTAATTTTGCAGCTTAATTTTCTTGGTGGTCTGGGGTTTGAACTCCGGGCCTTGCTTGCGAGGCAGACTCTTTACCACATGAGCCGTACTCACAGCCCTTATTTTAAATTTGCATAAAATTAAGTTCGATCTTGCCTAGAGGATAGAATAATCCTGTATACTTTTCTTTTAAGATGCTGTTCTTTTTTATTTCTTTTTATTTTTTGGCGACTTTGGGGTTTGAACTCAGGGCTTCACGCTTGCAAGGCAGGTGCTGTATCACTTGAATCACCCTGCCAGCTGTGTTTTGTGATGAATTTTTTTGAGATAGGGTCTCATGAACTATATATATATCAAACTGTGATCCTCCTGATCTCTGCCTCCCGAGTAGCTAGGATTACAGGTATGAGCCACAGCACCCAGCTCAAGATGCCTTTCTAAGAAAAGGACATCCGGTTCACTCTTACAGCTTTGTTGTTATTCTTTATTTGTAATAAATTGGGGGTTCCAGATCATCTTTTTTCAGAAATAGTTGCATATGTGTGCTGATTTGTTTTGGAATAAACTTTGAGGTAAATTACAGGAAACTTAATAGCTTCCTATTTGAGAAAATTCTGTTGTTTGATTTCCCTCTAGAACTTTTCATATGGAGGTCACAGGGTGGACTGCTTTAGTTCACACAAAAAAGAATTGGTATTATTCTGCTTCCCCCCCCCCCAAACAGATGAGAAACCAATATGCTTAGTAAAAGAAAGCAAAAATCCCTGTAATTCCACCACTCAGGGCTAACCAATGTTAATATTTTGGCTAATATCTCGTGTCTGTGAAGTTACATTAAGTGCACATGTGTAGCTATTTAAGTTTACAAAGTGGAGTCCTGCAATGCATATTGTTCTGAGACGTTACTTAGTAGCTCTTTGTAAGGATCTGATAATAGTTTACCTTATCTCTGACTTTAAGTCTATTAACCCCCAGCTTCCAGTTTGTTGCTATTGCATTTAATTCTGGAAAGAGTATCCTTATATCTGAACCTATATTTACTCTCTGATCACTTCTTTAGAATAAATTTGAAGAAGTAGAACACATTTTTATAATATTCTCCAGTTTCTCTGCAGACTGGTTTTATCTTAGTACCTCTTAGGTCTTCAGTCAGTTGCATTTTTGATCTCTATTTTAGTGTACATGGTACTGCTTACTGAGTACTACTCTGTAGCAGGCTCCCTGATCAGCACTCCATGTGCATTTTGCTGTTTAATTCTACAGTCCTGCCAGGTGAGGTGAGAATCCACAGCTCAGTAAGAACTTCCTTCAGGTCACCTCAGGTCAGCTAACCTGCGGGTGCTGCACCCAAGTTCGGACCAGGCTCGTGGGGTTTCAGAGTCTGTGCTTGCACTTCATGAGGCTGCCATGTGCAAAGTAAAGTTGGCTGGGCTGTATGAAGGAATTAACTCAGATCAGAAGAATTACTTCCCTGTCCTTAGATTCAGATACAAGGATTTTGATGCTTTAATTTTGAGAAACTTTGTCAAGCAATTAACTTGTTTTGGTTTTACCAAAACTGTATCAAGTCCGTAGTGAGAGTCTATTATTATAGTTATGATGGTATAGTTTGGACATGTTCTACACTCTACCAAATGTCTTAGTGGAGTAGAATATTAATTTAACAGTATTTTTTTACTGCCTCCTCTGGTAGAGCCTGCTTTGTGCAAGCCCTGGCTGTGCGTCTTAGGCCCTGCACCTTGCCAAGGCTTCACCTCTGCATCCTGGAGACAGTAGCACCTACCTCAGGGCTATCGCAAGGACTAACCAAAATAGTCTGCAAGAAGAGACACTCAATGGAGTGCCGGACGCATGTAACCAGCTGTTATTCTAGTGATTGCCATCCACGCCTGCCACTGGGGAGCACTGAGGGACAGCTATCTGACCTCATGGGTCTTCAGTCTCGGTGGTGGGCTGATGGTGCGTGGCTGCAGTGCTCTGTAAAAAGTGCCCTATCAGGACGTGCACCTGCAGGCTCTCAGAGGCATGCCCTGCATCGCCAGGTGGTCAGGGAAGGCTTGGAGGGAGCAGATGGTGTTTGCAGAGACCTGACTGATGCTGGCTGATGGGCGTGTCTGAAGCTCCAGTGGACCAGCAGGGGTGAGGAGCATAGATTGAAACTGGAGTCTTCGCAGCTCATGAGGTGTTAAATTGTGGAGTGAAGTGTATATGATTATTTATTACTAAGTGCAGTCCCACATAAAAGTACCGTAAAGTCATCAACATTTGGGTTGTTACACAATGGAGTTGACTGTCGTACTTTTCTTTTTTCAGTAGATACTAGAGAACATCTTTTTAGTTTTTCCTTGTAATTGGAAGTCACAGCTTTTTCTCTCCAGTAACAAGGCTAAAAATAGATTTTAAAGCTATCTGAGGTAGAATTTTATTAAAATGACTTAAGAGCATGTAGACATTACTGTAACATACAGATTTTTGTCCCCTTCTACATTCTGTTTTAAACTTTATGAATTGTTCATGTGTAATCTATGGGCATTTCACTTACTATCTTGAAGGAGTTTTCCAGATGAAACTGAAAAATTTAGTAACAGTGCTTCTGTGTCAACATTAAAAACAGACCGGCAGTCAGATGCTGGTGACTCATGCCTGTAAATCCTAGCTATTTGGAAGACTGAGATTGGGAGGACTGCGGTTCGAGGCCAGCCCTGGCTAAAAGTGCAAGAGACCCCGATGTCAACCAATAGCTGGGTGTGGTGGTGAATGCCTATTACCCCAGGGATGGTGGGGGGCATAAAATAGGAGGGTCTTGGAGTAGGCCAGTCTGGGCAAAAAGCAAGACCCTATTTCCAAAATAATGAGAACAAAAAGGGCTGGAAAGTGGCTCAAGCTGTGAAGTTTCTGCCTAGCAAATATAAGGCCCTGAGTTCAAACTCCAGTACCACAAAAACAATAACAAAAAACCCAGATCAGCCAAATTCCTTGTACCATGCTGAAAATAATAACTTACTCCTGTATTACTTTTTGTGCTCATTGACAGTGCCTTTTCTGTGAGCACCTTCAACCCCAGATAAAACCTTAACATTGAAAATTTACTTAGATATACATAGGAATTGTATTATTATGTTTTTATTCTTAATCAAATACTTGTGGAGAGTGATGGAAATCTTTGTGGTTTTTTTTTTTTTTTAAGGTATTGCCATCAGAGAGTCTGCAAAGGTAGTTGACCAAGCCCAAAGGAGAGTGTTGAGGGGAGTTGATGACCTTGACTTTTTCATAGGGGATGAAGCCATCGATAAGCCCACGTATGCTCCAAAGGTAAACTTCTCACAGGTGTTTGCTTAAGTGTAGAGCCAAGAAGAGAGCAGTACGATGAATGAGGTCAACTGGTAGGTTGTCTAGAAATTGTATCTGTGAGTTGTGGAGTTTGGTTTTTATTCTTATGCTTGCATAGAGGTGGTTTTTTTAATAGTTTTTTTTTTTTTTTTTTGGCAGTACTAGGGTCTGAACTCAGGGTCTCATGCTTGCTAGGCAGATGCTCTACCACTTGAGCCACTCCACCAGCCCTTTTTTATGTTGGGTATTTTCTAGGCAGGCCTCTCGAACTATGTGCCTAGGCTGGCCCTGAGCTGTGATCCTCCTGATCTCTGCCTCCCAAGCAGCTAGGATTACAGACGTGAGCCACCAGTACCTGGATGAATAGTGCACTTTTGAGTGGAGAACCAAGTAAATTAACAAAGCCCTGAAAGGCAGAGTTGACTCAGGGAACCCTTGGCACCTGTGAAAGCAAGATCTACACTCTGGAAAATTGCAGGTTGACCAATGAACCTGTCAGACACAGAAAATTGAAGATTGAGTAATTAAGAAGAAACACTAAGATTATTTAAACAGGTATTCTTCAAAAAAAAAAAGGACTAGATCCAGTTGCATGGTAGATGAGCTGTCTGTGTCCCCCACCATTAGGTGGTTCTTTGTACTTAGACATGGTGGGGTAGAATATAAACAGGGTATAGTTTAGTCTTTCTGTTAAAGTACATATTTTCCTTACATGAATTAGCACTAACTTCACTCACTTCACAAGAAGGAGGCCTTTATTCTGTGCCTGTGCTCTGAAGTTGTTGCTCTTACGTATGAACTGAAGCTGGACACTTTCTTGCTCCAGTGGCCTATCCGACATGGCATCATTGAAGACTGGGATCTTATGGAAAGGTTCATGGAGCAAGTGGTTTTTAAATATCTTCGCGCTGAACCTGAGGACCATTATTTTTTAATGGTAAGTAATTGGAGGAATATGTTTCTGTAATTCCAAATTGCTTAGATTTTAAACTCAAGATATTCTTCCCTAGGGAGTTTTTCTAAAGACATCTGCATGAATCAGGTGGCTTTTTTGCATTTAACAGAAAGCCCAGTGAAAACATCCAGCACCAGAAGTTGCTCATGATTCTGTAGAGCAGGATGGCAGGACCTGGCACTTTTGGGCTGCTTGTCTCAGCAGCTCAGACATGGGGTCTTTTACTGTGGCCTCTTCTGTTGGACTCCCCAGTCCCCCAGTGGCTGCCCAGGTTTCTACATTACTTCTTCAGTGTTTCTGCTCAGAGGTAGAAGGGAAAGTTTTCCTTGCACATTGCCGTCTAGGAATTTAGAAACCCTTTCCTAGAAACCTTCCAAGGGGTTCACCCTCTCTGTCCATGCCTAACCTGGTTACTAGCAAAAGGAATGGAATTACCTCAACTGATACAGGTTAATAAAGATTCTCTGCCTGGGTTAGGGAGGGTGGCAACCATGGCTGATCACTTAGATCCTGGGAGGAAGGTAAGTGCCTAATTGGGCCTCCAACAGGAAGTACCATAGAAGAGACATGGCTTTGGGTAGGAAACCAGCTCTGTACTCCAGTATCCTTGAGAAGTAGCCAGGAATTATAATTATTACTACTTCTTGTACCAGAGAAACTGAATCAAAATGTTATTTTTTTTCCCCAGAGTTTAAGTGCTATTGTCAAACCAAACTGAGTTGAGTTTATTTTGGTTCTGATTGAGTCTGACTATGGTACTTAATTATCTTGTTCAAACAAAACATTATGGAAAAGCAAGAACTATCTTGGTTATGGGATCTGTTCTGATTATTCTACTCAGTGTTTCCTTCCATGAAATACTCATTTTAAGTTAAAGTTAATTGCATGTAGAAAATGCTTTATGGAGGGCAGTTTCATATAATATAAGCTGCATATTGAAATTAATAATTTAAAGTTTTTTTTCTGTGTAAATACAGTATCAAATGGCACCAGATCCAGTTACATGACTCTTTCTGTTTTTATTATTGTATTGTTGTACTGGGGGTATATTCTGACATTTACAAAAGTTGTTACAATATATCAGTTGAATTCACTCCCTCCATCATTGTCCTTTATCCTCCCTCCCTCCTATATAATTCTTTCTGATGTGAGAATGCAAGATATTCTTTGTAACTATTTAAGAAAAGTAAAAAGTGTTAACTATCAGGCTGATTGCTAATGGCATCTACATATTTAACATCTATTAAAACAGGTCCTTGAAAGTGCTGTGACCTGTCCTCCAGCTGTATCTTCACCACTGGAATTATCAAGTATGGCTACTATGTTTCACAGGCCTCTTTGTGTTTTCTCTCCTGTGCACATACAGTGGTTTATCTTAAATAAGTGGAGCCAAGAAACTGACAGTGTGTGAGTGGCTTTGTCTTTATGGCCAAAACAAATCACAGATTCCCACCTGTCAGATTTGGCATTTTTTTCCTTCTCTAGAATACCACTAACTACCTGTTGGACAGGATTTAGGACCAGGCACCCTGCCCAACTGCTTCCGTCCGTCTGCTTCACCTTACCCTGCCAGAAGTTCTCCTTCCTCCACTTAAGGGGCATCTCATCTTAGGTCTGTGGAGCAAATGCAAACCACCAGGGCACAGTCCACAAGATACTTCCTAAAATACTTTTCTTTTTTTTTTCTGATTTAGCTGGCATATCTAGATCTCTGTCTGTTCTCTCTCTCTCTCTCTCTCTCTCTCTCTCTCTCTCTCTCTCTCTCATCTCTCTGTAAATACCATCACTTGTCAGGAAGGAATTGGAGATGGTGTTTTGTGTGCACATGGAAAAGTCCACTTGGTAAAAATGTGTACCTGTTCAAAAAGAATCAAATTTATTATTAAAATACTGTATTCCATTCATTGTGTTTTGAGCTCTGTAAGTCTGATGTGGTTGAGGAAGTAATACAGTTGCTGGGTTTCCTTCAGGCTCGTGTCCTTAGTCGTGGGTTGATGATAATGAAAAGGTTTAAGGATTGAAGCAGGTAGAGGGATCTGTGCCAAGCCACACAGGTGAATTGAAGACATTATTGAGCTGCTGCTTTAGATGATGGCTTCTTGGCTTAAGAGAGCCTAAGTGACTTACATTACTGGTCCTCATGCTTTAAGGAGTTGGAGTTGAAATTGAGCTATAACTTCAGAAGAAATTTATCAAACTTCTTGAACATAACTTAGACAAGAACAAGCAAGCAGCTTGTGCAAACCAGCATCAGTGAGGTAGTGTGGAGACTGAGGAACTGACAAGGTTAGTAAGACTAGAGGGCCAGGGAGAGAGATGGGTAGTGGTGAGAAAGGGAGACATGGGGCAGCCCTGGTGTGGTGTGAGGTTGCTTGGTATTTGAGAGAGTGGTGATAATGACATGATTGGCACAGGGTTTTTTTTTTTTTTTTTTTTTTTTTTGGTGGTGGTACTGGGGATTGTCCCCAGGGCCTCAAGCATGCTAGGTAAGAGCTCTACCACTTGAGCTACACCCCCAATCATTTTATTTGTCTTTTTTTTGTTGTTGTTTGGTGGGACTGGGGTTTGATCTCAGGGCTTTACACTTGCAAAGCAGGCTCTCTGTTATGTGAGCCACACCTCCAGTCCTTGTCTCTTATTTTTGAGACAGAGCTCACTAACTATGCCTGGACTGGCCTTGAACTCACTGAGTAGGTGGGATTATAGGTGTGCACCACCATGCCTGGCTGATTGGCACAGTCTTCATGATAACCCAGTGAGAGGTACACTTGCCTGAACAAAGGGAAGAGTGGGCAATCTTTTACAGAGTTCTTAAAATTGTGGAAGGTCAAAATTATAGACAAAGTCACTAGTGAGAATCTTTTTGGAAGGGCTCGTGTAAGAGACCAACATAATGGTTCTCAAGTGGAAGAGTATTTTTCTGCAGCATGGAGGAATTTTCTTCTGTGCCAGCTGAGGTAGTTGACATATTTGGAGTAAAGTATGTGTTATATGACAAGCTTGTATCTTTTGTTAGAATTATTCTAAGTTCAACAAAATGCTCACACTTTGAGAATATATGGAAATTTAGACCAGCGAGAGAAATCAGACTCAAGAGCCAGTCCTCCTTAGGTAGAATGGGGCAGAATCATTTGTAGGAGTCACACAGTTACTTCTGCTTTCGTATTTGGCTCATCGTTCTTATTTGTGTACTCATGAGCTTATATGCTGTCATGTTTTGAAGAAAATAGAGTTGGTTAGGACAAGTTCTATATATGTATCAGAGGTAGAGTGTTTTTAATATATGGCTTTTTTTTTTTTTTTTGGTGATACTGGGGTTTGAACTCTGGCCTCACACTTGCCAGGTCGGTGCTCTGCCCACTTGAGCCATTCCACAAACCCTTTTTTGTGTTGGGTATTTTTCAATACCCAATTGCTGGCTGGCAGTTAAGAGAGGCATCAAGGATGATTGGGATGTTTAGATGGGCTGAGATGGGGAATGCTAGAAGAAAATCACTGCAGGGAGGATGAAAGAGAGAGAGAAAGAGGCCTAGCAGGAACCTGCCCAAAGCTGAAGTGGGGACTGAGGAGTCACTAGCATTTACATGTTGGTTACTGCTTGCAAGTTAGTCCTGATCACCTAAAATAAAATGCATCATCCTGGTATTTAAGAGATGAACGTGTGAATCCATGATTATCTTGAAATTTCTGGGTGCAGTTTAGGTGATAGCTGTGTGAGAAAACTTTTTTTTTTGATGAGCTTTGTGAACTTGAAATTGATAACCATTTAAGCATTGCTATAGATCTGACTCACAATTGTGGTATGTCTTGACCTGCTCTAAAGAGTTCCGTTCTTGCATTTTTTTTCACTTCAATAAATTATTTTAATTTGATTTTTCCAAATAGCAGGATATTTTTATTGTTTTATTATTCATATGTGCATATAAGCCTTGGGTCATTTCTCCCCCCTGACCCCACCCCCTCCCTTACCACCCACTCCGCCCCCTCCCTCTCCCCCCTATCCCCTCAATACCCTGCAGAAACTATTTTGCCCTTATCTCTAATTTTGTTGAAGAGAGAGTATAAGCAATAATAGGAAGGAACAAGTGTTTTTGCTGGTTGAGATAAGGACAGCCAAATAGCAGGACTTAATTTACTTGGTATATACATTGAGTAAGTTTTCTGATTACATAAAAATCCTAACCTTCTTGCATTCTTGAGGATGGGGTAGACCTGCTCTGTCTAGTTCAGACGAGATCGACTGCCTTGGATCTGCTCAGGGAGCACCAGTCAGGAGCCTTCTAGCTTGCAGCACGTGGTGATGTCCTCTCTTGTCCTCTCTTCTTTGAGTGCTCAGATACTTAAAAACATTTCTTTACTGTAGTTATAGGGGGATTTGAAGGTGGAGTAATACTGGGAGCACGTGTTCAATTTGTTGTCTCTATCAAGAAATAATGGGTGGTTTCTCATGATACTCATGAATTATTCATTTTTGAATCAATGTCAGGTGATAAGTTTTACTATTGTTATGAATTAAAACATTTATGTAGTGGTCTGCTCATATGCTTCAGTGTTTAAAAAAAAGAAAAACTTAATATCCCCAATTTGAATCTTGGTAAAAATAATAGTTTGAGAACATTTTATTTAAATTTGCCTTCTGAAGGGGTATTTACTATGCCTGTGGTGGTAGACATAGAAGAAGTGGAAGACAGAGGAAGAAACAAGTTTGTGATCGTGGCTGTCCGAACTCATGAAGATACAGACTTCATGATGCTGAATTTGATTCAAGAACCAACAGAACCTAATTATTTGTTAAACATTTCCTTAAATGGGAGCATATAGATTTTAATTCTTTAAAGATGGAGAATTGTGTTCAGCACTGAATAATAAAGGTATAAAAATAGTAGTTTAAACAAGTTGGGGGTTTTTAGTTTTCTTAAAATTAATTTATAGAAGGAGGTCCAGTGCTGGCCTAGCATTTCCCTTATGATTAGGGGGTCTCT